ACCAAATGTCTGTTTATTGGGATATTTCTTATAATAACCAAGGGAAGGATATAAATTTAGGGCAAGTGTGTCATTCTCCAGAATATTCCCCTGTCCTTCCACATTTTACACTTTTGGGATTTCCTGCTCTGATGGTGGCATGATCTGACAATAGCACAATAAGGTGACAGCTACAGTCAACTGAAAGGCTGGAACTTAACCACTTACACTACAATCTCTGTCTTTTTGAATCTGCATAACACTAGTTTTTCTATAATACAGTGCAAGCATCTCCAAATTGTGTATGGAATGAGTTGTCATTACTGCAGTAATCCTTCTTACTGAAATATAATCTCAGACTTGTATTTTGTCTTGAATGGTCTCTGAGCTTTTCACCTCCATGTGGAATCTTCCAGATAGGTAAAGGTGCACTTGGAATATAAAATATTAGTTCTGTTGGCAGGCATATATGGCTTTATTTTTGTACATAACTAGTTTTCTATTGGAGAAGATACAGATACGCTGTTCTCTTGCTTTTGTATTGCCTGAGTTCTTAAGATTACTCATCACGCTTAAACTTTCAGGGCTGGATTATGGCTTTACAGTGGAAGACCAAGGTATATGCATAATATTATTTGGTCTTGTTGAAATACCAGCCCAGATTTTTGTGTTGTAAGTAAAATTGGGCTCTTTACTAAACTAGAAACCTCTTTCTCCAACAGCTTTGTGGGTATAGGCTGATAAATCTTTTCTGTTTGGGTAAGACACTTGTTTATGGGTGGGATTTTTATCTGTGGTGGTGTATTTAACTAGTAACAGGATTAAGATTTTAAAGAGAAGACCTTTCAGTTCCCTTCATCAGTGTATTGAGGGAGGCTATGTACCTGGTATGAAGAGTTGGTGAAGCTTGAGGGTTTTGTGTTCCAGCACAAAGAAAACCTCAGGTGCTTCCCCCTACCTCCAAGCATCTTACTCTTTATGGCTATCACTTGGCAAGAAGCCTCTTTGGCTTATTAACAACTCATGGTTGTAAAAAATCGTGGTGACAAGGCCTGTCTTCTGGTAGTAGTTCTGAGCAGTTGACTGTTTTCTTTTTGCACCATTATTTCTGTGGTTATGGTGGTTCTACAAGATGATAGTGAATGACCTTTGCAGAAGACTGAAGAGATGCAACAGGGCCAATATGTACTGACAGAGGCTGTGCTGCTTGTGGGACTTGGGTATGCCTCTGTAAAAGCTGTTGCTCAGCTTAAAATTGACTTGTTTTCCAGTGCGCAGAGATGTTGGACCTTTGTTTCAAGGGCTTGTAGATGTTTAGGCTAGCAATGGATAACATCCTGCAGAAGCGAAGCAATTAAATTTGTAATTATATGTTTGAGAGTGCTCTGAGAATCAGATACTGTATTTGCAGGCAACAGCAAGTCTTGCGTATAGTTTTTTCTATTAAATTTCCATGTTAGACGAATCTTCTAGGGAAGAGATTGTGAAGGAAACCTGTAGTACAGTTGATAACTTGCCCATTTTTTCCCCCAGTTCTTGCAATTTCCTGATACAGGCCAGAAGATCTTGGAAACTGTTACTGTATGTGTTTCTCACCTCCATACTTCTAGAGTAATTATAATGTGTATCATTGCTTATTCTATAAGAGATAGGTGTGAATAGTTATTTTACTTCGTTAAGAAGGCAGGATTTATATGGAAGTGTTGTAGTACATCCCTTGGCATCACTGAAATGCTCTCTAGTTAATCCCAATTGGTAAAGCATAGAATATAAACTCTGTTTTAAAGAAAAGCTAGATCTTCTGGAATGTCTGCATTGCTATATGACTGCTAGAGATGACTGATAGGGTGCCCAAGGTTGCAAGCATAATTGAAAAAAACATGGTGTACTTCTCTGGAACTGCCAGGTTTCTGGGGGTATTAGTGTTACTCAGTTTCCTCTGGCTTCTGTAACTTCAGAGAAGATTTAATGGGACAAAGTTAATGTGGTCTTGGTTAGTTAAGCTTGCCATGTATCTAAAACTATGTGTGTTTGATTAAAGCATAATGGTCCCGCTGGGTCAGATCAGAGATCTTCAGAGCGATGGTGGATGCCTGGGAGTGAGCATCACAGATTAATAGTATGGCATGACTACCCCCTTTTTCTCATAGATGAATAGTATGGCATGACTACCCCTCTTTTTTTCTACACTTTAAATTACTTGTATTTACGTAGAGGATACCTCTTCAGCTAGTGAACTTCTAGGACTGATGGTTGAAGGGAGGGCTGTGCATTCACAAATACAAGTTAATTTCTTAAACTGCAGATGTAGTGCTTTTTCAATTATTCCTCTTGCCTCAGGGCAGTTAAACATCAGGTTTAAAGACAAGCCCTGTGTTTCTTGCTTGCAAATCTTAATTTCTGTTTGTCATCTGTGTTCACAACAATGGTCAGTCAGGTATGTTACAGTTGTGGTTTAACCCCAGCTGGCAACTAAGCCCCCCGCAGCTGCTTGCTCACTACCCCTGGTGGGATGAGGGGAAGATTCAGAAGAGTAAAAGTGAGAAAACTCATGGGTTGAGATAAAGACAGTTTAATATATAAAGCAAGAGGTGTGAAGGCAAGCAAAGCAAAACAAGGAATTCATTCTCTGCTTCCCATCGGCAGGTGGGTGTTCAGCCATCTCCAGGAAAGCAGGGCTCCATCACATGTAATGGTGACTTGGGAAGACAAATGCCATCACTCTGAATGTATCCCCCCCCTTCCTTCTCTCCAGCTTTCCGTGCTGAGCGTGATGCCATATGGTATAGAATAGCCCTTTGGCCAGCTGGGGTCAGCTGTCATGGCTGTGTCCCCTCCCAGCTTCTTGTTCCGCCCCCAGCCTCCTTGCTGGTGGCGTGGGATGAGAAGCAGAAAAGGCCTTGACTCTGTGTAAGCCCTGCTCAGCAGTAACAAAAACATCCCTGGGTTATCCACGCTGTTTTCAGCACAGATCCAAAACATAGCTCCAAACTGGCTACTATGGAGAAAATTAACTCTATCCCAGCCAAAACGAGCACAGTTATCTTGGATGTAGCTCTGCTGTTTTAAGAAACTTCAAAATATGAGATGACTTAACTCGCATCATTTTAAAAATTCAGAGCTTTGAAGTAAATTCTTTTTATAGATGGTAGGGTCATCCTTCAGGAAGTAAGTCATAGTGCTTGCATATTTAAGTTGCATATTGTAACTGTATCATATTGCCTTTAACTTAGTTATCTTAAATTACTGCATGTGTATGTTAATATTAACTGTATATATGTGGAGTGTTTTAGGGCAATTCTTGAAGTCTTCAGCAAAAACAGTTCACCATTTTGCAATAGTAGGGTGGTGTTTTGTAGAAGGTTTATCAAATCCTTAGTGGATTTTTTTTTTTTATTTTCTGTGATTTGGAGAAGCAAAATCTACTGGTGGAGGTAGGGATTTTTTTTCAACTTCTGGTAAGAATAGAGCCACTATAAAATTTTGTACTACACATGTGGAGACCTGTTGGAGACTGATAACATTGTTCCTGCCAGGGAAAAAGATTGAGTCTATAGTTTCCATTTCTGAAATAGCTTATGCCTGTTAAGGTTGTGAGTTTTGGCATCCAAGGAAAAAATTGACTGTTAAGCTTCATTAGTTTCTCATTGCTTGTGCTACCATGACACGGCAGAACATGAGGCA